GACACCTTGTAGCCGATATCTGTCACTCCTGACTTCTCAAAAGGCTTTGCATCTCTGCCACATTTTAAGGACATTCACACTGACTGATTAATTGATTGATTGAGCGTATGTGTAGACACTTTTCATCTTCCTTTGCTGCTAGGTACAGACATGTGGCTTAGGTTTTGCCACTGACATGTACCCACATGAGAAAAAGGAGTGCAGGCACATATTTGGCAGGCCCAAGTGATGGCAGGTGCAGCAGGTCCCTGGGGTTGGAGGTGGTGGCAGCAGTGTCCTGGCTGTGTGGCAGCTGCTCCATCCCAGCCCAAACCAGCAGTGTGGCTCTGGGGACTGTTCATAGAGGTTCAGTCTCCAGCCCTTTTGACAATCCTTCGAGCTTTCCAAGGTCCTCAGATAACTCCACCCTGCTTAAACTGCAGCTGGGCACTCTAACCAACACAGCTTTGATGGCTGCTACTTGGCCCCGTGGCTTTGCCCACCTTCCCTGGGACACAGGCACGCACTGCCTACATGGCTAGCTTCGATTCACCCAGAGGCCAAGAGCCTTGGGGCTTTTGAGTTTCATCTGCTGTTTCATCTTCTCTTGGAGAGAAGAGAAGGGGCTGAGCAGCAAGACCAGAGGGCCTTGGAAAATCTGCTTAGGGTTCTGGCATTCTGGAAGTTTTTCCTAGTTCAGTTGGAAGTTCTCCTATTTACCTCAAAGGTGACTTTTGACTGGAAGTTCTTACTAAATAAATGTAAATCGCTTTATGTCTCTTCAAGATTTTTATGGCACCAGAAATTTAAGATTAAAAACAAAAAACAAAAAAAAACCCTCTCTCCCAGTGTGAGGCTGCCTCTGACTCTGTGGGCCCAGTTCCTCTAGTACAGGTTCCTCTTGCTGGCTTCTGACTCAGCTCATTTTCCCCTTCTTTGGGCCTCTTGAAGACCTTTCTTGGCTCCTCCACCCCTGCTCCTGCACAGCTGCCTAAATTATATCGGCCCCTGAAGTGCCTCGGAACTTCCCAATAAAACTTGACCATGTGCCTGTGAGGTCTGAGGGTCTGGAGCCGGGGTTAGGACCGGTTCATCCTTCATAAATGCCTCTTCTCCTCTGCCTGACCTGGATTCTAAGGTGAACCTTCCCTGCCTCTGCTTCCACTCTCCACTCCAGCTGGCTCCAGGCTAGGCCAAGAATTCCCCAGTCAGCAAGCTGAGCTGCGTGTCCAAACTGTACGGCCTCCTTGAAGGGTGCCACTGAGGACAAGGATGAGGAGTCACGGGGATTTCCCAGCTCCGGCGCAGAAGCACGTGCACGCTGGGTTTATCTCCGTGCAGCCACCAGAGATGCTCCACGGGGATTCTCCCCGTTACCCTGCTAGTTCATCAAACATTTATTCCCTGGAGGAATGGCTCTGGACCGAAACCCTGTAAGAGTGTAGGTTCAGGATGGCTTGCCAGATCCGCTTTTGTGGACAAGTCCTGGCCAACAGCTTCAGGGGAAATGAGGTCCCGGGAGGCCCCCTGGCTATCTGATCATGTGACCCTCTTGGCTCCGTTACAAGGACATCCTGTTCCTCTTGGAGTGATGGCTCTATTGGGGAAGTGACTGTGTTGTATCTGGGACAGGAAAAAAGCTATTTCAAGTCCTGAAGTAATCACTCACTCAGTGCAGCCTTTTCAGGAACTGCCTGGAATGTAGAGAAAGACCAGTCTTGAGGGAGGGTAACTGGAAGCCGAAGTTCTATAGCAAAGGCAGACCACCTGGAGGAAGAAGGGCAGAGGGGTGTCAGGTCACTCCTCCACTGTGACATATTTCTGGACAGCTGTGAAGTGGTGACAAGTGGGATCGATACACATGAGCCCTCAACCAAAAAGCAGAGGCCTCTCCATGCTTCGAGAGAGCGCATGCTCACATTCACGGCACCCTTGGGTTTCGAAAGAAAACGAGCAACCGGACGGTGCTGAGGGCTATGAAAGTCTCTCCTTGGCTGGCTAGCGTCCCCTGTGTGCCATGAGAGATTCGAGGAGCCTCGTTTGTATATTTCCTTCAGGAACTCTGGGACTCAGAGCCAAAACTTATCACTTCCTCACCACCAGGGTAGACTGGGAAATATAAGGGTTACATTCAGAAAACTCATGGACACATATACACTAACCGGGCATCAGTCTGGCCACCTCGCCTAAGAAAATAGGCAAAGGGGAAAAGGCCTTTTTCCTGGAGAGATCATCTGTGTTTTCAGCATCATGCATTTACCTGGGCCAGCCTGGCACATAGTAGGTGCATAACGTGTACTTGTAGGACGAATGGGCTCATGTTTAGGTGTAGAATTTTTATATTATCCTCCATTCTTGTGCATCTGTTTGAATCTCGGGGTGGTAGAAGATTCTGAGTCTGGATTTCACTTCTCAACAATTAGTCAATTGTGTTCATTTTTATACTTGCCTGACAAATAAGAGAGGTAATAAAAAGGAGAAGGGTGATTTACTACAAGCCTACGGACTTCTGGGTTTACCTCTAAGAAACCCCCTCCCCACCCAAAAGGTCTCTCCATTATTATGCAAAATCGGAGAAAAATAACATTGCTCCAAGAAATTCCAGAACAGCTGCTGTTTTGAGCACCTAGGTTGGTAATGGCAGATATTTATTTGGCAGCTTGCTACCAAATAGCTGCTTTGTAGACCGTATCCATGACAGACATCACTAATCAATCATTAGCACTCTGTATTATAGACCCTCAATATTGCATTCCAGGTATCAACTTGTCATCCTCTCACCAGCCCATGATGGTCTGTGACGCTTTCGTATCCTAAATCAGTCTGGAAATCCTTACAATGTTAACAGTGAACAACAAAATTGCAGAATTATAGATCTAAAAGGGACCTTAGTGAGCATCTAGTTTAATTCAAAATATAAGATAAGCCTGGAGCATTTTGTATTGCAAATGAGGATACTGAAGTCCAGAGCGGTTAAGCAACATGCCCAAGGTCAGAGCATTAGCTAATGTCCTAATGATCCCTTACATCGGCATAGTGCTGTAGAGGTGACAAAGTACTTTTACCCGAAGCATTTCATATGATCCTTAATTCATCCAATAAATATTTGTTGAATTCCCACCGTGTTCCATGCCCTATGCTGGAGATTAGGAAATCAGTAGTTAGTAAAAAAAAGAAAAAGAAAATAAAGACAAAAACTCCTTTCTTACACTTAGATAGGGAGCGTTGAAACAACCCCATGGTATGGGCAGGACAGATACTACTCCCCTCAGTGTTTTAGTAGTAGGGGAATGATAATTAAGGGAGGATATGACACTGGTTTAAAAAAAAAAAGGTAGCTCTGGAATTCACAAGATCCCTGAAGTCACTACTTTTGAATGAAGACATGACCGTGTGACATGCAGGGACCAAATTTCTGGGCCCGCTAGTCATTTCTTAACAGTTTCCCCCCTATTTCAGGATGCACAAGGTATTAAGGAAGCTGGATCTACCTTTCTGTTCCGGAAACCGTGGGGAAGTCTCCCAACTCTGTCCAAATAATTTCAAAGGGCTTTTCTTCCTACTCTGTGACCGCTGACCCTGTAGCCCACAGAGTGGAGAAAAGAGCACAGATATGGAGTGCCAAGTGACATTTCCTGTCCCTACTTATGGTTCTAACCAGCTAGCTCCTCTTGGACAAGTCACATCACCTCTAAGCCCCTGTTTCCTCATCTATAAGGGAAGTAGGTTGAGCCGTGTGATCTAAGCTTCCTCCCTTCCCTCTCACATCTGATGACTCTGCCTGACCAAGGAAGAGACAGGCCTGCTCAGCCATATTCCACCGTCTGCTCTGGCCAGACAATCTGCATAATGGCTCTCTCTGCAGCCCAGACCCACCAAGCAAACAGCAGCTCCAGAAGAGGTAGGGTGGTCCAGCAAAGCCCAAAGCCCCAAGTTCTAATCATGGATCCAACTGATGATGTGACATGAGGCAGCCAGTCCAACTTCCATGAGTCAAGGCTTCCTCTTCCCTCACAGAACAACAGTGATATAACCGAAGGTAAAGCCAGATGTGGAAATGCTTTGAAAAGACTAAGATGCACCCATCAAGAGGATAATAAAAAGGGCTGACCCAAGTAACTTTGAAGAATGCTTTGACTGGAATAGTAAGACTAAAGACAAAAGGAAGTATACGAAAACACTGTATTCTAGTTAAAGTTTTGTTGTTCATGAGGATCAGCAATTCTGAAACTACTCGCATGCCAGGGTTGAACAAATTAGTACAACATAGAAAGTGGAGCCAATGGGAGCCGGGTTTCTCCTGGTCAGAGAAAGAAGTGACCGTGGAAAAAGGAGGGAGGCCAGAGTGAATCCTGTGGTGCTGGATTCGAGTTGGAAGCATCGGTATGAAGTATACAGACGGACACAGAAATGCATGTAGAGACGTGCATTATGCACAGGTTAGCGTGTACACGTACATTTCCTAACTCTGTCCACTGAGAGGGCGTGACGCCCAGCAGCAGCGAGCACACCCGGGGCTCTGAACCCTGGTTTCTCCAATTTCTTCACTGGAGAAATACCACTCTCCAGTGAAAGGAACCAGGGCTCCCTGGGGAAAGAACTGACTAAGGCTGCAGCAGGGAAAATACAAGATGAGCCTGGAGCATCTGGGAGTACCAGGAAATAAAGAAATGACAAAAACAAAAAACTTGTGAAGGGGGCATGTAAAGAGGACACAGGAGCCAACCTGGAGGAGTTCCCAACGACCAACACTGAAGCAATTTTAGAAAGTATTGGATTGTAACTTAAATAATAAAATAAATATCCCGGAGTTCATGCTGATGTAAATAACTAATTGGTTAAATAAGTAAGTTTTGGAGAAAAGACAAATCTTTAGAGCAGAAGGCCACGTTATGAATGTAGATTCTCCCTCCTCCGGAGAGTAGCACTTAGCGTCCCTCCCTTTGCGTGTGGACGGGACTTAGTGACTCACTTCCAATAAGTGAGGAGGGACCCAAAATAACACCAGAGTTTCCTTATCAAAAATTGTGTGTTTATTCTTACACGTTGAAACTTCAGTCACCTTTCAAGTGCTCTCCACTGGGTGCAGTACACACACTGAGATTCTTCTCCGCTGCTCAAGAGTTTTTGAACCCACAGACTTCGATGCCTTTTGGTGCTTCTGCTGTTTTTTGGTTCAGCTCATCCACGTCGGCAAAACGTTTCCCTTTGAGGACTTTTTTTCATCAAGGAAACAAAGAAAAGTTGCTAGGGTGAGATCAGGTGAATAGGTGAACACGGAAGATGGGACATGGGGGTCGTGCCATCTCTTGGTCAAAAATTGCTGAACACTCAGTGCAAGTGCGGGCAGGTGCGCTCACAAATCACCCATCATGAAATGGGCAAAGGGGTTCAAGGAGTCTTAAAAAAAGTGGACCGAAGCCATAGGGAGCCTCTCGCCACACTGCCAGCTTATATGCTGATACAGACGAGTTCCCAGGACACTCACCTAGCAGGGGGAGCCTGTACTACAAGGGACTGCCCTCCAGAAGATAATTCCAGGGTGTTTTCTGGGTCCCCTCCTCCTCGTAGAGTCTAAAACGGGAGAAGTAGCAACATTACAGTGGAGAATCCTGGCAGAGCCTCACCCATGCGATCAAGGTTCACTTCACCATTAGTCTTGGTGATGTCACGTCCTTCCTGACATGGTGCAAAGAGCAAGGGCACTTCACCTCCGTGGTAGTCTCCCAGAAAACTCGCAACCCTGGACTCATCACGAGAAAACCTCAGACAAACTCCAACTGAGGGACATCAACTAAAATACCCGTAAGTGTCAAGGTCACGAAAAATAAGGAACAATAGAGAAACTTTCACAGGTCACACGAGATGTGATACAATATGGTGTCCTGGAACAGAAAAAGGACACTCGTGGAAAGAGTGGGGAAATCCAAATAAACTCTGTAATTTAGCCAATGGTATTCTACTGATGCTGATTTCTTAGTAAAGTAACCCAGGGAAGAAACACTATAAGGATGGTTACACCTGCATTCAGGGGTGAGGCTGGAATTCTAGGCCACTAACTTGTCACGATGGCCAGGGAGCAGACAGGCCACCATTGAAGCAAATTCAAGGAGAGGAACAGGGTGAGGGGAGAGGGGTCCTGGGTGCAGGCTGATGGCAGCGAGGGCAGGGCGTGGGAAGCTGCACGAGGCCCTCACAGGCTGTCACTGATCTCCCAGTGACATTAGCAGGCTTCCCGCAGGAAGTTCCTTCTGTTGCACCACTCAGTTCTCACCTGTAGGCACTCATTCTACGGGAAGCTGTTTCCCTGAAAAGCCTGGTTTGTGACCAGAATCTATTGTCAGGGAAAAAGGACGTTCCTTCTCCCACGCAAATGCCAGGCAGGGGATGGTGCCCAGTGGTCACAGGACCCTCATTTTCTGCAACACTGATTGCTTTGTGCAAAGGCGGGCAGGACGCCAGGGCAACTGCTGCCCAGTGTGGCAGAGCCTTGAGCATTTGGGGAATTTCAGACCGAGACCAGTGGAAGAAAGAGAACTTCCCCACGTGATCCCCCTCCCCCCTCCCCTGGCCATCTTCTGGGAGGGCTTATGGGGAAATAATGGAGGGAGACTGCTCGTTCCTGTTTCACAGATGCACTGGTAACACTGGTGACATAACAGCAGAGACCCTCCACAGGGGACAACGGTTAAAAAGTGTCCTCTAGAATGTGTCACCGGGAGAAGCCAAGCTTTTCAGAGAGAGGGGTGAATTCCTCTGAGTGTTTCACTTTGGTGACTTGCTTTTGATGGAGATCTTTTTAAAGCTTGTTACTCACTCCACCTTATTAGACAGAGCTTGCAAAATACGAATTAACCTTTCCTTGGCGGTTGCAGGTCATGATGGTGGCATCAGTCATTCCTTGTGCTGACATACAGAAGTGCATTCCGCGTTGGGGACGTTTGCTGAATGGGTGGTGATCTCAGCAGTGGCCCTGAAATTTGCTTTCTTGAAAGAATCCCTCACATCAGCTTGTTTTTCCTTTAGAGAAGTGCCATGCGTATTCCTTCTCCTGCATAAAGACAGAACACGGGCTCCAGAAGCTGTGTGACCGTGGCCAAGTGATGTCATCTGTTAGTGGTTCAGACTCTTCATCTGTAAAATCGGGAATAATGTTATGAAATTGGATAATGCATGTTCAGAACATGCACCAGATGCATTAGAACAATCTAAGCAGAGCAGTGGCAGCCACGCAGGAAGACCTCTGTGTGTTCATTATTCCCGTGTGCAGGTCAGGACAAGTCCTCAGATCTGGGTGATCTGGTCTACCTCCTCGGCTGTGTGCTCACCAGCATCAGCTAGCTGTCTGTGAAACCACGCTGCTGGTGACTTTACCCCACCCCCCACTCCCGGGACTAGTGGGGCCACCAGCCATTGTGCAGATTGTAATCCACATGCAGCTCACCTCCAGCCTGTGCCTGGTTTAGTAAGAAAGGGAACAAAGATTTCCCAGGGTTAGGGTCCTCCCTGAACCACCGCCTCTTGCAATCCATCCCACGAGATTCTGGAGGGAAGCACTCAGCAACTGTGCAGTCAGGGCAGCGTCAAAAGGCAAAGTGGCCATAAAGTAACTGGCAGACTCTCTGTTCTCCTGGGCACTTTCATGCTGCTTTGGAGGATGAGCCAGCACTTGTATAAGACGGAACCAGAAAGCTCCAGGAGGGTGTGGGCCCATGCATGTCAGGGGGTGGGGGCCTGGAGCCCCTCCGGGCATCCAGTGTACCACTAGCACAGCCCCCATCGCTTTTTGCCCCAAAATCCTCGAGAAAGGCACTCTCTGGCCTCAAGGTTTGCCTTCCCGCCGGTGATATCACCCGCAGAGTTTCCAACCTGGAGAAGTTGGACATGACGCCCGAGGAGCTCAGGAAACTCTCCCCGCTTACTTACAGTGACCCCCTCCTTCCCCAGCTCACCCTCCCCACAAGCTGTGCTGCTTCCCTCCCAGCCCCCCACCCGCCACCTGTAGGGGCTTCGCAGCCAAAACCTGGGAGACAGCCCTCCACCAGCTGGAGGACGCAGGGCACCCTCCTACCCAACGCTCTGGCATGGCCTCCAGCTCTGCACAGACCCCAGACTGGGGAGACTGCTGCCTTGCGGCGCCCCCTGATAAGAAGACAAGCCCTTCATCTCTGCGGCCTGCCTTCTCCCTTGCTTTGCGGGACGCCCTTCCTCAGGTACTGCCCACGGCTGCAGCCACACTGGTGGGGCCTTCCCTCCTGTGCCTGAGGCACAAAACCCTCTTTCCTCATAAATAAACACTGGCCCCTAACCTCATTCCACCAACAGAGTAACTCACCCAGGGGGTGAGCAACAAACCAGGCAGGTTTGGGCGGAGGAGGCGGCCGGGAGGGGCCTCTCCTGGAAACCTGGAGGGGCAGAGGCAGCAGCCCTGACACCTGGCATGTTGTGGGTGCTCAGTTACTTAGTCTGGCTCCCCCCTTCCTCTTTTCCTTTCTCAATATCAGGCCCTCTCTCTCCTCCCACCCCCTTCTCTCTCTGTATCTTGCTCCATCCCTTCTACTGCCACTCTCTCTCTCTTTTTCAGACGGATGTGTCCTGCCTGCCAGGGACACCCGGTAGGGCTGAGGGTGTGCCCTTGGCTCCCTCAAACTTCTGGCCCACAGGCTGCTGACCTCTGAACTAGCCTCCTTCACCACAGTCCTGTGCTTCCCTAAATTTACTCGGGCTCCTTCCCCCTCGGCTGCTCCTGCTTGCCCAGCGTGGCAGGCTCAAGGAGGGGAGGGAGACCCGTGCCAACCCGAAGCACAGTTCATGGGACATTCTGGCTTTACCAAACCCCTCCCCAGTCTCTAAAATGCCCCCTTCTGAAGTAGTGCTCATTTTGTTGGGCGTTATTGCAGTTATATTTTTAAAGTCCTTGTCTATTAGAGATACATTCTTTGAAGTCTTTACAGGTGAAAATGATGGGATGGGAGGGACAACTTTAGACACACAAATCAGCATATCCAGCCCTCAGCTCTGGCCTACATGGAAGGTCAATTATTTCGATTTAATTTGTCTTTAGTCTCCCTTTTAGTGGTAAACTATTAGAAATAATTGAGGAATTGAAAGGGTGGAAAGTTCCCCTTTTTAATGACACCCTCAGCTGGGGGAATGAAATACAAATGTTGAAAATCTACAGCCAGGTCCTCACTCTACTCCTTTCTTACTTTTTTTGTGTTTAACTTTTTCTCCTTGCCCCGCCCTGCCCCCCACCCACCCCACTGCTTACCTAGTGGTACCACAGAAGGACATGCTATAGGCATTAAAACAGCAACAAGGTGCCATTTGAGGCCACAGCTGTCCCACAAAGGCACTGCTGTAGAATCAGGTGGCTGAGAGGGGCCCAGGGGGGCTGAGAGGCCCGTCTCCTTGGCATCAGGGGTGGCACTCAGGCCCCTCGGCTTCCGCATTTGTCATTTTCAGCAGAGCCAAGAGCTCAGGTGTCTGGGACTCGGGGGGCTGTGGCAATTTTTCCAAAGGGTTAAAGCACAATCTGGGTGAGAAATCAGCAGGAAAGAGCCGTCCATCCATCAGACGAGATTCAAGGCAGTGAGATCTATTGAGCATGGGTCGCTAGAAGAAATACTAAAGAAGCTGGTGTTGCAGGCGGCACCTTCAAGGGGCCGAGCCTTGTAGAAAAAGCCAACGTTAAGCAAGCTTCATGTTATGTGCTTTTGCAGTTTCTTGATCTTTTCCAATTGTCATCAGCATTTGTCAATCGTATCAAATACTCCTACACGCCAGGCAGGTACTAACTGGTGTCCGCACACAAATCCTGTTTTGTAGATGAGGAAACTGAGGCTCGGAGAGGTTGAGTTACTTGTTCCAGATCACACAACTAGTCAGTTGCAGAGCCAGACTCCCTGCCTCCAGAACATGTTTTTACACCACTCTCAGTAAAAAGTCTCACCTGAGAAGGCAGCAGGACACTCCTTAAGTTTTTGAAAGACTTTTAAACCAGTAAATGTACATTTCATTTCTACAGAAACGCATGAACAGGTTTTGTCCATTTCATTGACTACCTTGTAACTTTTGACAAATAACATAACTTTTCTAAGCCTCATGCTTCTCATCTGTAAAACATAAATAGAACAGTTCCTTAGCATAGCTCTTGTTATTAGGACTAAATGATATAGAACATATAAAACACCAAGCATCATGCCCAGCATATTGTAAGCAAATCAATAAGCAACACTTATTGGTGGTGGCAATATTTATTCACCACCTACTATTTGCCAGCTCTTATGCTGTGTATTATAAAATAGTGTATATAAGACTCTTGCATGTGTAGGTGGAAAATATATACATAGACAGACAGGGGTGGGCAAAAGTAGGCTAATAATAATGATATGAATTATTGGGCTTATACAGACAAAAGCCTAGAATGACATACGCCAAAATATTAAATGATTATGAGAGGTTTTCATGTCTTCTGTGTCGTTATACATTTCCCAAATCTTTGTATTAAAAGTATGGATGGATTAGCTTTGCAATCAGAACAAGAAAATCTTGAGAATCCACCTGAAGTGTCATTTGTTCTAAAATGGGAAGAATGGTGTTTTTTAAAGAAGCAATAAAAGTTTGAAACCTTTTTAAAAGGCACAGGAGCTTAATAGCCCCAAGGGGAAAGAAGCAGGTACTTCCTAGAAAAGCTGAGCAAACCCAGCTGACTTCGCCAGCAGTGGCTGTGGTACCTGGTTCTAGAATGAGGACCTTCGGGTTGGAGAGGGAGGGCTTTTCGGTGGCCATCACCCGTGTGGTGGCCACCTGAGGGAGATGGTTGGCGCTGCTCAAACCTCATTGTTCATTGTTCTGGGGCCAAGCCCAGCTAGGACTCAGAGCCCCCCTAAATCCCAGTCACCCCTTCACCATGACATGTGTGTCCTTCCTGGGAGGAGGCCTCACACTGACGCAGGTGCCCCAGCAGCCAGGGGCTGCCCTCAGCTCTCCCCACCCAGCTGGAGAGCTGTCTCTCCCAGAGACAGAGCAGTGGGGTCTGGGGTAGGTGCCCAGGGAAGAGGAAGTGGGGAGCAACACATGGGGGAGGGCCAAGCGCCTTTGCTCCCTAAGGCCTTTCTCATCCAATCCTCATCCCAGATTCTGGGGCCCACCAGAAATTCCATCTTACTGATGAAGGGGTCTCAGGGAAGTTGAGAGCCTTGCTGGAGTCCCACAGCCGGGGTGAGGAGAGATACTGCCCCATGTGTGCTTCAGTTGAGGCGGCACCCAAGCAAAAGTCGCCGGCGTGGAGAGGACCTTGGCAGATGGGAGAGCTGAGCCACCACAGGTAGCTCAGCCCCAGGGCTGGGCCGTGCAGGAATGCAGTCCCGCCGTGGCTGGGTCTCCTGGGCTGCTTTGTGAAACGTCCCAGTTTCTGCCTGTGGGATCCATTTTAAAGATAAAATAAAATAAAGGCCACACCAGAAAGAGGCAAAACCCCTAAAGGGTTTAATGTCTTTGGAAAAATGCAGTGTGGAGCCAAGATTTCTGGCGGGTTAGTGCACCCATCAGCCCAGAAGTGAGAGAGCATGGGGTATCCCAGGAACTGAAAATGGCTCTTCCGCCAGAGTCCCAGGTGTGAGGTGGGAAGTGGGGGGACAATGGGGACCCAGAAGCCTGGTTGACAGTGATAGGTCCTGCCTGGTGCAGCTCAAGGAACCAGGTACTGCACCTCTGTGCACAGTTCTGGGCCTCTCTGCCTTTCTCCTGTGGTTACTCCAGATGGGGGCTTCCAACAGGCAACCCAGACCGTGCAGAGCCCCACGGCAGGCAGGACAGGCTTTGGCCCATGTTCTTGACCTCAAAGACCCTTCCCTAGGACCCAGAGGCCATGGGACAGGGCCCCGGCAAAGCTCCCTCCTAGGAGGCCACTGACACCTGCCCCTTTGCTAACACTGACCTTCAAGGGGCATCAGCGGCCTAGAGCGAGAACGACAAGGATTTTCTCCCAGCTGCAGAATGTCCTTCCCTGGGACTCCTGAAATCCACCCTGTGGTGACACAGCCAGCTCCAGACAGTGACTAACCCGGGCTTGAGGTGTCTTTCCATGATGGGGCAACGAAGCCCTGGAAAAACCCACCCCCTCCGAAGGGGCTTTTTCTTCCTCCATCGGCAGTTGGCTCATCCTGAAGGCATCCAATTCTTGCCTTCCTCTTCCCCATTTTCTAAAGCCGCCAGCCGTCCTGTCCCACCGGGGAAAGGGAGGACAGCCCCCTCTGGGCCCAGAATCCAGCTCTTCATCACTCTGGTCTGCTCCCCTGAGCTCCTGCACCCCTGCCTCCCAGGAGCCACAGCTGCAAGGCCTGTCACTACGACACGTTCCCATCTCCCGAGACAGTACACTGGGCTGGGGGACAGACCAGCAAACCCACAGCTGCCCGGCAGTATGGCACGTGCCCTAACAGAGATAAGCCCAGCACCCCCTGGAGACTGGAGAACCTAACCCAGCCTGGGTGGGTTGGGGGAGGCTGCCCAGAGCAGGTGGCAGGTGACTCTAGAATTAGACACTGAGTCTAGTTAGCCCGGCTGAGAAGCAGGGTCAGGACTCGAGACGGCTGCAATGGCATGTGCAGTTGTGAGAAGGAAGACACACTCGGGTCTCATGAGTGGGTTGGTGTGGTCAGCTATGTTCTTGTTTACATTTCTACACCTCGATGAACTCAGGCTTGGCCATGGGACTTGCCTGGCCAAGGAAATTGGAGCCAAAGTGACACGTATGTCATTTCCAGACAGAAATGTATGGTTCAAAAGCCCTTGTCCTCCTTCCCTCCCTCTCCAATCGTGGAAACACGGCAATATGGAGCTTCCATCAGCCCGTGTCAGACCTACTGTAATGAATAGAGCCCCCTACTGGTTGGAATGGCCATTTGCTACTTTAACATCACCTAGCCTGCCTATTCCTGGGTGGCTGGCCTGGCTGAAACAGCGCACATGCAGGGGGTGCCAGGAGACAAACCTGCATTTGGATGCACTCAGCTGGATCCTCCAGTATTCTCCCCTCAGAACTCAGATAGCAGCAGAGTTTGTAGTCAAGTGGGTTGGAATCCCAGCTCTGCCTTCTACTAGTTCTGAGATTTGGGCCATTTAGTACAACCCTTTGAGCTTAAGTTTAGCCATCTATAAATTGAGAATAATGAGAATAATATTACCTCCCTGGCAGGGCTGTCGTGTTTCCCGAATCTTCCCTATTCCCAATCATGCTCCTTCTCCCACCTGTTCCCAGTCACCGGGGTTCTTATTTAAAATGCAAATCCCTCCTATTTGCAACAACATGGATGGGTCTTGAGAAATATCATGCTAAGCAAAATAAGTCAGATGGAAAAAGTCAAGCAGCATATGAATTCACTCATGTGTGGGACATAAAAACTGAAAGCAACAAATGAACAAACAAGACAGACAAAGACTCACAGACACAGAGGACAGACAGCATGGTGGTTTCCAGAGGGAGGGGGGATGGGAGGGAGGTGGAAGAGAGTAAAGGGGGCAAATACACGAACAGAAGGAGATTTGGCTTTGGGTAGTGAACACACAGCGCGACACACACATGATGTCTTATAGAATCGCACACTTGAAACCTGTATAATATTACTAACCAATGCCAGCCCCAACAGATGTAGTTTTTAAAAAACAAAAATAAAATGCAGATTTCTCACTGGGTCCAGATCTCTGAAGGTGGAGCCCAGAAAGCTGCCCCTTCAGCAAGCACCCCAGGGAGTGGTTTTGCTGGCTGGGATTTAAGAAGCACAGCCCTTAAGGTTTCCGTAGATGGTTGAAATCTCGGCACAGAGGAAGAACCACGGCATGGAGGCTGCCTTGGTCTGAGGCCGAGAATCTTCAGCCTGCGCTGACCAGGTGGCCACAGAGCCTTGGAGGCAACCCAGGCATGTGCCCTGACTGGGAATCAAACCTCCACCCTTTGGTTCACAGGCCTGCACTCAATCCACTGAGCTACACCAGCCAGGGCTACTGCTGAGCTTTTTATGAGGTGCTCTGCTCTGCACTGAGGAAGAGCCTTCAGCAATGCACCTCTGCCCACCCTTGCCCACCCCCAGCCCGGCTGAGTGAGGCTTGCCTCTCGGGGATGTGATAGCAGCCCCTTTTCCTCCGGGACGAGGCTGGTTCTTAAGAGAACACACACTCCGTAAGATGGAGGCGAGGGCTGGGGAACGAAACCCTGGGAAATGGCTTTCTGAGGGACTAGAGCTGCCCAAAGCACCACCCCCCCACCCGTGCAGGAGAAAGATGCTTCAGCTGCCTGCCTCGCTGCCCAGCCCAGGCCCAGAGCCCTCCCGAGCAGCGCCGTCCTCCCCACGCACGCCTCTGCCGTGAGACTCTCCCTAAGCACAGCGGCCCTTTTTCATTCCTGCCGCTCACTCACAAGAGCAGCGATGGCCGGCTCGCCTGGGCTGATTTCTAATTTAGAGGCACTGATCGTCTCAGCCAACACGTGTCCACGTGCTCCACGGGCTCTCCCCCGACTGAACAAAGAGAATAATCCCCATCATTTCTCACTCAGTGATCTTCAGGTCAGAAGAGGAAGCCAATCTGTCTGAGTTCAAATCCCAGCTTCACCTTCCACTGTCTGGGGGTCTAGGTCAAGTTGACTGACCTTTCTGTGCCTCCATTTCCTCACGCATGAAAGGAGGACAGTATTATCAGCTACCGTGCATGGCTGCTGAGAAGAGGGACAACTCGGTGTGGGCAAAGCCCGGGGAACGGGGCTCACAGTGAGCACCGAGAGTGGGCTGTTGGAATGCCCGGTCTTCGGCGTTAAAGAAATCAGTTGCCACGCAAGGTCCCCTCACTTATGCAACCCACTCACATACACACACATGACACACAAGCGCACAACTGAATACACGTGTGTCCACAACACATGCAACATCAACACGCAAGACACAAACACACATGTGCACACGACACAGCCAGGCGTCATTTTGCAGTCCGCGCTCGGTGGTGCCAGCCGACTTCAAAACCAAATCCCCGCGCACACACACTCAGGATGCTCAGTACTCTTCCCCACCGTGTGTCATTGTGACATCAGGCAGTGTCACAACAAAGCCATTTGCCAACCACTCATGCCAACTGCTCTCAGAGCAGAATGTGCATGACCAATTTTGTTTCGTAAGCTCCTCAGCAATACGGTCTTCTCCACCACTGTGTGGTGTTCCAGGATAGAGCTTCGGAGTCGGGCGGACATGCGTTCAAATCCTGACATTACTACTCACCGGCTCTGAGACTGGGGGCAGGCTGTTAAACTTCTCTGGCGGTAGCAGCACTCTCGTTTTATGCGTGAGGGCACGAAGAACCAGAAAGGGCAAACTGGTGCACATGAGTCTCCTGTTGTCACCTGTGAAAAAGATTCACCTTGCACGGTTCTTACAAGGAATGAAAGGATAAGGTGCAGACCTCATTTAGATTAGAGCCTGGCATGTGCTAATAACATGCCAGTGTCACACAGGTTGGGTAAGCGGTGGCGTTGTGGTGAGAGTGTTTCTTTAAACGGAAAAAAAAAGTCGCGTTCTGACTGCTGTGACTCAGTGACTTGGGTGTCACCCTGCAAACCCGAGAGGTCATCTGTTTGATTCCAGTCAGGGCACACACCTGGGTTTGGGCCAGGTCCCCCACTGAGGGGGTGCGAGAGGCGACTGACGGATGTTTCTCTCTCACAGTGATGTTTCACTCCCTGTGTTTCTCCCTCCCTTCCCCCTCTCTAAAAATAAATAAGATCTTTCTTGTTTTTAAAAAAAAAGTTGCTTTGAATAAATTGTTGACAGTTAGTGGGACTCTCTGAGGGTGACTTGCATCACACACACACATTTGGGCGCCAGATACCATAAACTGAGCCCCCAACTGTGTTGTAACCGCTCCGTTTCCCTTCATGAAATTTGAGAGGTGATGTTTTGACATTGTTTCATTTCATTCCATTTCCTCTGATGGGTGGGCTTGTTTCTCAATGCAAGCAGAGCGAAAGGGGGAAGTATTTGAAATCGTCGTGATAGTCCAAGTTGGGAACCTTCTGGGCCCTGAGAATGAGCCAGAAGTCTCTTACATTCTCCTGTGTTTGGGCTTTTTCCCAATTCTTCTCATTGCCGAATATAATCCTCAGTTTCTTCCAAAGTTCCCCCTTTCTCCTTCCAACTTTCCCCTTGACATTTGGGGGTACCTTAACAATGAATTTTGAAATAATATCGTAACCATATTTCATGTTCTTTTTTTTTTTTAGATTTTATTTATTCATTCTTAGGAAGGGAGGGAGAAAGAGGGAGAGAAACATGGATGTGTAAGAGAGAAACACTGATCAGTTGCCTCTCGTACACATCCCAACCAGGAGCCAAACCTGCAACCCAGGCATGCGCCCCAACTAGGAATCGAACCAGTGACCTTTCACTTTGTGGGGTGACAGCCAACCTACTGAGCCACACCGGCCAGGGCACGTTTCAGGATCTTATGGAGCACTTCTGTTCACTAAGTGCTCTCACTTGCACTCTGCAGTACTGACTGAAGGAAGACCTGCATCCACTGCCAACAAGCCCTGGGTGTCAGCCTTCAAGCAAATGCCACTGTCTCTTGCAACAAGAAGACAGCCGGTAACTGGCAGACACTTTTTTAAAAAGAACTGTGATAAAATATAGGTAATAGAATTTACCCTTGCAAGCAGGTGAAGCCTACGGTTCGGTGGCATGAAGCATGTCCACCACGTGGTGCAGCCGTCACCTCACCCGTCCCCAGACGTCCTTCCTTCATCCCAAACCCGAACTTGTGCTCGCGCAGCCCTGACTGCCACCCCCTCGCCAGCCCCTGGCGCCCACCACTGCGCCTCCTGTCTCTGTGACTGTGACTACTCCAGGGTCCTCAGGAAGAGGAATCGTGCCGCACTGGTCCTTCCGTGTGACGGACACTTTACAGCAAGCGTTCTGGAGGAAGTTCCCTGCACTGCTTCTCTTTTGGCCAATGCTGCCCATTAGCCAGACAGGGTGTTTATTCTTACCCTACAGTAACCCGCCCCCAAGAACAGGGACACCTCTCAGGCCCGGCCCTGCGAGGCAGATATTTCCTAGTGTTTTGTTTTACACCGAATGCTGCTCATTCCTCTTCCACTCCAGGTGATTACTTGAATTGTGGTCATCGGCAATGAATAAATAAATAAAAGCTCCTGGAGAAGGACCTGGGTATTTCCCAAAGGCTCCGCTCTCCAGTACTGGCCTCTCTGTGTGAGTGTATGTATGTGTTGTTGTTTTGTTTTGTTTTGTTTTGTTTTAAAGAACCCTGTGGCCCACTTCAATTCATGTTTTGCCCAGAAAGCTATCACAGCTGCAAACTCTTTCTGCCAGGAAAGCCATCCAGGCTTCCCAGAGGCCTCTTTGCTGGTTCAGTGGCCACTCTCCTCCCTCTCTCGCCGGCCAGCTCCTCTGAGCCCACTGCCACCCAGGCCTCCTGCCCGGCTCTTGAGAGAAGTTGCTGCTCCCTGTGGGAGTGGCCGTGCCTTCTCTGTGGGTTTCTATTACTTGGAGGAGCTCAGGCCCCAGGACATCCCAGCCCCCTCTCCGGGCTTCCCCCCTCAGAGAACGGGCTCTACTGCTTGCTGATAAACTACACTGGCTGTCACCATGACAACATCCTGGCTCAGCGCCTGGATGACGCGAGGCCTGACTCCCTCCCTGCCTCACTCAAGTCTGTTTGTTTGGGTTCCAGCTGCTTTTGTTGGGCTTCGATTTGCTTGTCTGTTTGAGGCAGTTTGTTGCCGATTGGCTGGTTGCAGGGCTGGGCTTGGAGTCTCTGGGATACCAGGAAGTCAGCTCGCAACCCCAGGGAAGGAATTTCCTGGCACTCTGGGGGATTTCCCCATCATGGTGACAAGAAGAGCCCTTCGGGTGAGGCAGAGCCCCAAGACGTCAGATAGGCAGCGAATGCTCTGACCCCAGAGCCAGTTCCAACCAAGGGCACTATTTCCTAGCCCAGGGCGGACTGCTGATGCCACCACATGCATGGCGAAAGGCCAGCCTGTTGTTCGATCAAACAAAAGAAACAATACATGCTGGCAGAGCAGCCCCGCTGTGCAGACATATCAACAACAAATCAATCCAGGATGAAGAAGAAAGGTTGTGGATTTTTGAGGATGTTTGAGAGAAGGTGGTGATGGACATCAAATGGATTTTCACTCAACGTTTGAGGAGGTCTCGCTTGTTATTCAGATAACTGCAGAAGCGGGAACCTGGAACGGTGTGACTAATTTGAAAACACGCCTTCTAGCTAGCCTTTTATCACTTTATCAGGCTTCTGTCTCCCACACAACTTATTTAATAACTTGGCGGCCAGGGCTCCTGAGGTCACCCCAGACCCTCTGACTTGTGATGTAAAAGTTGCTTCTCTTCCGTGTCCTTCGAAGCTGTTTCTGGACACCCTCGGCCCCTCGTCGGTAAGACGGGGCAGACAGAGCCGGCCAGCCAGCCTAGCTCAGGCCCCGAACTTCCTGGGCTGCTGTCATCGTTGCTGACCCCCACCTGTGCCTTTTTTCTGGGGACCCTGACACCATTTATTAGAATTTCACCATTGATTCGTTAAGTCTCAGTGGGCCAGGCACTGTGCTGGCCACCAGGGATCAAATGATAGACCAAACAGACACAGTTCTGGCCCTCTGGCGGATTCTGGAATAGTGGAAGGAGACAGAGTTTTTCAAATAATCACACAAAAGGTAACATTATATCTGTGTCATGTGAGTGCAGCTGTCACAGGGCCTCCTGGCCAGCCCACCCCCAGCTGAACACCAAGGAAGACATCAGCCTTGGCCACACTGAGCAGAGTTTCCCAACCAATTCCTGTCTTAATTACTGATCCACAAAACTGTGAGCTGTGATATGTTGGTTGCTGTCTTACACACACACACACACACACACACACACACGAAATAAATTATATTGGCATTAAGTATCTTAAGTATTAAGAGTATGGAATAGAGGAAATAAACTATATGTCAGCCCCTTTTTATAGTCAAGAAACTAGAGTTGAGGTAGGTTTAGATACTGTGTAAAAATTTAAAATACCAGGATGCAGAACTATGGGATGCAAACTCTCAATCCACAATCTTGCAGAAAGATCCCCATGGTTCTTTTTATAAACCTTGTTTCTCTGAAGAGCGCCCTCTAGGGGCGCTTTCTCCAGCCATGCTGCTGCTTTTAAAGGGATTTGTAGACTACAAACGTCCATCCCTTCATCAAATGTGTGTCCAGCACCCAGGCCCGGGGACACTGGCTCCCACATGTATGGGGCTGACAGTCACTTGAAGCTCCTGACATCTCAGAGGGTGCAGGGCACACTCTGTGCCTCGCATTTGATAGCAAAGGAGCTGAGAGGAGGATACAACTTTGCTATGTTAGTCATTGTTTAGGCTGGATTTTTGGACTCCAGGAAACAAGGAACTTCTCGCTGAATGGTCAGTTGGACCCAAATTTCTCACCCTCCATAGCCACACCCTGCTTCACTGCCCTCTTTCCTAAACTTGGGTTCCCTCCAGTTCGGACGTCTCTTCATGGTCCCCCCAACCACGGAACCCCACCTCCACATTGTTGCCACAAATGCCTTTCCTGCCACTTCACCTCTGCAATCACTGTTTTTCCAAAGCCCCCCAGCTCTAGTCTCCCTCTTCCCTAAGAGCCTCCAACCCTTCCTGACATCTCCCCCACACACACGCACAGGGGAGCCCTGATACCCTCACATGTGTTTGGGGACAGAGATCTGGTCCAACACCTCATTGTGCACCCTGCCACATCAAGGGCATGGCCTTGTCAGAGATCACACCTGGAGCCCTCTGGGTTCAAATCTCAGCTACGCCACCTACGGGTCCTGTGATGCAAGGAAAGTGATGTCACCTCAACTCGGAGTTTCTCATGGGCACGACATGATGGTCATCCCTGCCTGACAAGGCCGTTCTGAAACTTAAAGGGCGTGTCGAAAGCACTCCGCACACTGTAAGTCCAAGCTGTGGAACGTGTTCCATTTGGCCACCTGCTTAAAAAGCAGCCCAGCCCTGGAGGCATTGAGTTCAGCCTCCGACCCGCAGGGGGAGCTGCCTCCCAGCTGCCAGGCAGGAGACGGGGCCGAGACGGGGGCGTGGGGCCTAGAACCCATGGTAGTTTTAGGAACCCATGGGAATTTAAAAATCAAAGGAGAAAATTAACTTTTATGTCACAAATGACTTTGTATATTTTAATATATTCATCTTCGTACCAATACGGTAATAAAATATAATTTTTATAGAGGAAGGGTCCCACAAAGGCCAAAGTGCCTACAGACCATGGAAGTTATAATAGTGAAGAAAACCTTCTGATATTTAGAGAGAAGGGGAGGGAGGTAAACAGTGGCAAAAGAAAAAGAAAATTGCTGATGGGAAGAGTGCAGCTGTTCCAACCCTCACACCCTCCAGTTCCGGGAGTTCCTTCTGCCTCCGCATGGCAGTGCATTCTTAAGAGTACAGTTTCTAACACTAGTGTAATCTGTGTGCCCATCTGCTTTTAGTCGGTCTCGTTCTCCAAGAATGGTGTGTTTTAATTTAAAAGTCATGCATACCGCCTGTATCAGCTTGGTCAAAGATCGTTATGCCCTCCAGTGGCCGACAGAGGGCGCAGCGACTCAAGCTTAAGCGTGGGAATCACAGTGGCCTGTAGACAAGATGTAGAATGGTCCTGGGACCAACAACGGGGAATCACCACCAGGTGCTTGTTAGAGATGCAGAGTCTTGGCCCCTCCTCTAGACCTCCGGAATCAGAATTTTCATGTTAAGAATATCCCCAAGTAATTTATGTACATATTAAGTTTGAGAAGCATTGATCTAAAGTGTCTAGTCCTGAAAAGGGAAGCCTGCTTCCTCAAGAGAAAGGGGGTTGGGAGAGGAGCTGGCTAAGCCGTCCCCCACAGCCCCCAAGTCTTCTGTCCCTTCAGCTAACCAGCCAGCATCAATCAAGACGGAAATGAAAACACAGGAGAGGTGTAAAAGCATTTCGAAGGTCACAAATGAACTGGCTTATTCTTCTGCCATCTCAATAAATGTTTATTGAGTGTCTTCTACGTCCTGGCCATCAAGGACACGATAGTGAGAGAAAAGAAAAAAGATGCTGGTCCTGCCATCCTGGGACTTTCAGCCTCATGGGGACACCAAGGGTGCACAGCCACCAACGTACACGCCCTGGTATTGCCACTCGGGCCCAGAGGGTCAGGAGAGAGGAATGGATGCGAGGGGGGCTGGTTATACCACATGGTGAAGGAAGGCCTCTCTAAGGGACTGAGCTCAAAGCTGGAGATCTGAAGGTGAACAGGAGTGAGCCAGGAAAGGGGCGGGAGTCCCGCCAGGGAAAACAGCGTACAAAGGTCACGCGCCACGGAGAAATGGAAAGGAGACCAGCGTGCAGTGGTGCAACGTGAGGCGGAGAGAAAGGCAGGAAGAGCCTGGACAGGGCCAGGGGCCTGGGGACGCAGGCTCCACCTCCGTCACAAAGTGCCACACAGCTCTGTTTCCAAGGGTCCCACTCCAAAGGGCCCCAGTGAAGGTCTCGCCCCCACCCACTGAGTTCCTGTTCCCGCCCACCGCCCACTCCCCTCTGCTAGCTTTCCTCCCCTTACCCACCACCAACCCCTTCTCCATGACTCGTCCACTTCTGCCTGCCACTCTCCAGTCTCCCCTATTCACCATTCAAACTGCTCGAGTTGTCCCAACTTTCCTGGGCAACCAGACC